TACTGATTTTAATTGCTTTTTCAATTAGTTTAGATTCCGTTCCGATAAATCTACTGCAAGTATGATTTTTGCAATTTTACAATATACAAGTTTTAAGCATTTTTAATATGAAAAGCATTGTAACTACCGCTACAATGGGGTCATGAAAACATTTGAAAGTTTTTTTCGGTGATTATTATTGTAACTTATTTTACAAATTGACAAATAATGTTATTGTAAGCAGCAATTACAATGTGTATCAATGTTACATTGGGGTAGAAAGACATGGTAAGTAGTATGTGAGAGATAATAAAAATAAATTTATAATATTTTATTCATTTTAATAGGCCGCCAGCACAGATAACAATATTTAGTCTTCAATGTCGTAATTATTTGAAACGGTGTTTGAGTGTGGCAAGTTGGTATAAAAATGTTTATATTGCTCCGGAATTGCACCGCTGGAGCATAAGCTGCACAAGTCTTTGTACTTGTTTTGATTGAATGGGTGTAAGTTTTCAAAGGCTCTAACTAAATTTTGATCCCACAACGCAGCCAAAGATTTATTTATATTTTGACGTCTAGTCTTGACGGTAACCCAACAAAAACGCTCCGATCTATATGACATAAACAAATCCATAGACACATCATCCAGTGAATTGAAGAAAGTTTTAACGACGTTTGACTATAATTTTTGCATGGAAACATTAAATAAACGCGAAATTAGTAAATATAATGAATGCAAAAACAAACATATAGAAAAATATCAAAAATTAACGAACAAGTCAAATGTCAAACATCTGAATCAATGCCAGAACCGAAAGCAACCATGGACAAACACAGATCATAGATTAATCGCGCTCTATAATCTGTCAAAACAAACACTGGATGATGCAACAATTGGGGTTTTATCCAAAGGCGTCAACTTTGCAATTACACCCCGCAAATTACCGTACGAAGAAATTATCTGTAGTGTCGAGGACTGTTTATTTAAAAACAATATGCGGAAAGAAGATTTGGAGGCGATACGTCAAGACATCTCGTCTATGTTACGTCGATGTTCAGTGCCTAAACCGAATCTTCCCAAAGACGAATTTATAGCGTTAAAGAACCTACGCAATAAACACGAACTTACGATTCTCCGCGCAGATAAGGGAAACGCCACGGTAGTCATGGATACGTCAGATTATAATTCTAAAATACAAGAACTTTTGTCGGATGTAAGTACTTATAAAAAGGTTCAAAACGACCCAACAAATAGCACACTAAAAACAACTAGTGACCTCATAAAGAAACACTCCGAAAAATTAAATCTGGACGTAAAATGGATAATACCTACGTGCGTCAAATCACCAAAATTGTATGGGTTACCAAAAATACACAAGCCCAATTCTCCATTACGTCCCATAGTGAGCCAAATCGATTCACCAACTTACAGATTGGCTCAACACTTAGCGAAAATACTCTCACCACTCAGGGGACATACAAGAGCACACATAAAGGATTCCTACCATTTTGTCAGCGAGATTAAAGACCTACATCTGGCAGACAATGAAACTATTGTCAGTTTTGATGTGCAGTCATTGTTTACATACTTACCTGTTGAAGACTGCATCTCAATTGTAACTAGAAGGCTGGAAGAAAACAACATGCCCGTAGAATATGCAGTATTACTCAGACACTGCCTTACATCTGGCTACCTATTGTGGAAGGAGGAGTTCTACAAGCAAGTAGATGGTGTGGCGATGGGCTCACCTGTATCTCCCATTGTCGCCGACATATTCATGGAAGACTTTGAGGAGAAAGCCCTGCTTAGTTCTCCCATAAATCCGAGGTTCTACAAGCGGTACGTAGATGACACTTTCACAATTCTACCTTTAGATAAAGTAACTGCATTTTTAGACCATCTTAACTCTATAAATTCTAAAATTCAGTTCACAATGGAGTTAGAGGCAAACAATTCCTTAGCTTTCCTAGATGTGTTAGTAATTCGGAATCCTGATAACACCTTGAGCCATACTGTGTATAGAAAAAAGACCCATACAGATAGATATTTAAACGGTGATTCTCACCACCATCCTTCACAGTTAGCTACCGTGGGTAAATCTTTGTTTCAGAGAGCACGAGGGATCTGTGACAGTAAACACCTGGCTGCAGAGCTCCACCATGTCAAGCAAGTTTTGCATGACAACAAGCTTCGAGTCCCGCGCCTACGTCACAGTGAACGAGTGAAGCCGGCCACAGTCGAGCGTGTACCTGCTGTACTGCCATATGTTAGAGGAGTCACTGACAAGATTGGCTACATCTTGAAGCGCGCTTCCATCAAAACATACTTCAAGCCGCTGAAGAAGATTGGTCAGTTTTTACCATCAGTCAAGTGTAATGTCCCTCTGCAAGATGCAGGAGTGTACAAGCTTGATTGTGAATGTGATCTCTCCTACATAGGACAAACTAAAAGATCAACAAAAACCCGCGTTAAAGAACATATAGCTGATGTGAAGAATCGACGCTCCGGGAAGTCTGCAGTCTGTGAACACCTACAGGATCGTCCCCGTCACTACATGAGATTTGATAGACCGCCGATCCTCGCTAAAGAACACCGATTCCTTCCAAGGATGATTCGCGAGGCTATTGAAATCAAAAAACATCCTAATTTCAATAGAGAAGATGGCTGGGTGCTACCATCTGCTTGGGATCCTATAATAAATAAAATTAAATCCCAACCCAAGCATACAACTGCAAGACTTCAAGATACCATAAGTTCATACTGCATAGATCGGAACAAAAGTTAAATTTTAATCCATGGTAACCGCGGTTAACTATGACATATGGACGTTGAACATCTCAGTCCTGCCCGTGACCATGACTGCTGTAAAGCGTTCGAAACGTCGGGTATTTAAAAGTTAAAATATACGCGATAAATTCCGTAAAAACTAGTATTATTTCAATGTGTAGTGTTCGCGTAAATATAAGAAATCATTATGTCTAGTCTTGACTTGGCGGTAGTCCTAATCTATCCTAATATAATAATTTAGTTAATCGCTGTAAAAATCATTTTGAAAAATTATAATGTTTGGCGATTCGAAATTATTTTTAATATGATTAACTTTTGACCACATAATTTTTTTATCATTGTCCAATTCCCAATTGAGAACTAAATTTAACAATGACTTAAAATCAAATATTTCATTTTGAGTGACCTCGTTCACGACGTAGAGTTTGCCTGTAATCTTAGCACAACGTATTAGTGTGTACAATTGTTGTGGTACGTAAACAACTTGGTTTTTTTACGTCGCTCTATAAGAGCATGCATTGAGTCCGCTTCAGATGAATGCCCAACTTCAAAGAAATTGTGTGTAATAACTACACCAAATATTTTTGAGGCGTAAGCATACATTAGAAATACAATTCGATTTCTATTTTGGCCACCACAGCAGTCTGAATAGAAACGAAATTCTCTTATACCTTCGGCAGCCTTCTTTTTTATAAAATCGAATAAGAAGCTAGCAATTTCGTTAGGGCCTTTTCTTCCAATGCATTTATCCCACACATAACAGTGCCCTTCAGCAGATCCTATGTCGAAAATTGTAAAATTGAAAACTTGAAATTTTCTCTTGTAATAGAAGGTTGACACGTCAGACTGTGGAGTATTTAAAATTTTTTGTAAATCAAAATCATGCAGTTAACAATTTTTTTTAGATTGTTTGTCTTCTACTTTATCGTTGTCTTTTATTTGACGTATTATACATTTATTTGCCATACGTAATGCGTAATCAAGTGCTGTGATTTCTTTTTCTAACTCTGAAGCTTTTTCATGAATCTCACATTTCAAACATTAATCTTTCTTTGGTTTGAAGAATTCTGTATTAAATTCTTTATAAAAGATCTGCCTGTACTGTTCTTGGGTAGCTTTGGTATCACTTGGATTATTTTTAGTCATCCATTCAATGTAAAGAGAGTATTGCTTAGGAAAAGTAAGTGATTCTTCAAAATAAAGTTTGGATGTTCTTTGCCTTACGTATTGTGATTCTTTCACAGGAATTGAATTAATATGCTGGCGAACTGGTATCTTAATATTTTCATTTATTGCGTTCTATATATTGAAACATTATAATGTTTGGCGATTCGAAAACTTACCACGCCTATCGTTTGCAATGACTTCTTCATTATTTTCATCCATTTTTTTGAACATCGTCGTTATCCACATAACATATCTGTAATATTGAATGAGTCTAAAAACATGTTTACACACTCTGATTTTTTCTCCAAGAACAGGTAAGTAGTACTCATAAGTGCAATGGCGTCTGGAATTAATGTTGTTTAGTTGTACTGTTTTACGCTTGACTCTGGTTATAAATCTAGCTAAATACTCAACTTGTTTGTCATGATTACCCATTGAAATAATACTAGTTTTTACGAAATTTATCGCGTATATTTAACTTTTTAATTACCCGACGTTTCGAACGCTTTACAGCACTCATGGTCACGGGCAGGACTGAGATGTTTGACGTCCATATGTCATAGTTAACCGCGGTTACCATAGATTAAAATTTAACTTTTGTTCCGATCTATGCAGTATGAACTTATGGTATCTTGAAGTCTTGCAGTTGTATGCTTGGGTTGGGATTTAATTTTATTTATTAAAGGATCCCAAGCAGATGGTAGCACCCAGCCATCTTCTCTATTGAAATTAGGATGTTTTTTGATTTCAATAGCCTCGCGAATCATCCTTGGAAGGAATCGGTGTTCTTTAGCGAGGATCTGCGGTCTATCAAATCTGATGTAGTGACGGGGGGCGATCCTGTACGTGTTCACAGACTGCAGACTTAAATATACGCGATAAATTCCGTAAAAACTAGTATTATTTCAATGTGTAGTGTTCGCGTAAATATAAGAAATCATTATGATTACCCATTGCCCAAAATTGTGTGAATAATTGTTTTCGGTGATCATTAGATATATTTGTGTGACATTTCCTTTTGCAATCTTTATCTATTTTACATCCGGGTCCCAACGCTCTCTCTTTAACTAATGTCATGCCTGCCCCTGCCTGCTCCCCGCCCCACATTATTATCATTTTCATGACTGCTAGCTGTACCAGGTAGAAACACATTTTGAGGCGAGGAGCCAATAAAACGTGGATCTAATGGTATCTCCGGTTCATGCCTATCCGCACTGCACGACGGATTGTCATTGGTGAGTATACCAGGTAAAGCCGGCTCCTGGTGCAAAGTTTCAATGATAACTGGAGCTTCTAAGAAACTAGAACTACTATGCGGATACGCATTTTGATGCGAGGAGCCGATAAAACCTGGCTCTGCTGGTATCTCTGGTTCACGCCTTTCCGGGCTGCACGACGGATCGTCATTGGTGAGTATACCACATAAAGCAGGCTCCTGGTGCAAAGTTTCAGTCATCACTGGAGTTTCTAAGATACTGGAACTACTGAGCATTGGTAGATATACATGTTGATGCAAGGAGCCGATCGAACATGGATTTAATAGTATCTCTCGTTCCCGCTTTTCTAGGCTGCATAACAGGATCTCATAGGTGAGGTAGAGCCGGGTCTTGGTGAAACGTTTCCGTTATGGCTGGGCTTTTATTGATTGATCTTATTGATAATTTCAACCCAACAATATTAATATCTTCAAGAACTTGAACCGCAGCACAATCAGATTCTTAAAAAGTAAATGTTTTTACGCTAAGTATAATGTTAAAAAAAGCTGTAGATAAGAAGTTAATACTAGTGCCAATTGTGACAGGCAGCTTTTTATATTAAATAAGCTTCAAGTTCTTTTCTTAGCTAAAACATTACGTAAGGGTTGGCACTAATCTCAATGTTATCATTATTATAAATGAAGTAGAATGTAGATTCAACAAGTGGTAAAAAGTGCATGCTATAGCTTGGTACAAAGGTGAAACCTAAAACAGAGTTGTAATTTTGGTGTACAGGTCTTGATCTTGAAGCTAGCTCTACACCCAAATCACTAGGAGTAATTAGTGAATTAATTTTCACGTTATGTTCCTCTGCCTCTTGACAATTACTAAGTATTTCAGTGCAATCACTATCTGAAAAAAAATATATATTAAGATCAAACCATCAAACTAAATTTAAGTAATACAAAAATTAGCTTCTATAAAATATGTGTCAATGAATTAAAAAGTTTAGGTAAGTAATATTCCATGTGCCTAAGTAATAAAATTTATTTGTAGGCAGTTTAAAGTTACACGTACCAGTATACTGTACTCTTGAGCTTTGTGGCTGAGGGGGTAGATATTCGTCTGATAAATCATCAGCTGAAAAATCACCATCATTATCATCTTCTGAACAGGCGTAATTAATGGGGCGATTACGCCGCCGTCTTAATTTTCTTTTAAAGTTTATTAATTCGGCACCTATAAAAAATAAAAGATTAAGTAGGTAGATATGAGTATTACTAGATAGGGACATAACAAATAAAGGTAAGAATAACTTTTTAACAACAAGAATACCAACCATTGAGTTATTCAAATTGACATCTGTTGCGTTTCTTATAGATATCCATTTGATTTGAAGTGTCGTCAGTTGGAGTATCCGTACTTTTTGTGATCAGATAATCATAAACTAATTTTATTGTATGTTCCCTATTCATTAGGTTTAGGTGTTCAACTCAGGTCTAACTAGCAAAGTAGCAAAAGTAAACACAAATCAAAACAATTGAAACTTTTAGGTTATAAATAAGATAGCGTGTAATATCTATGTTTATTACTTTCCCATTGATTCCACAACTGGGACATCTTTTTTGCGAAGGAGACTCACCATAAACTTCTCACGAGACTTTATTATCACAATAAATTTAATCCACAAACAGTCACTATCACTGGAACAAAACGTCCACTGAGCAGAAACCTGACAGCAATGGCGGTTATGTTTATGAATAAAAATATTGCTTGCTAACAATAACATGGCATATAATGATACTATTATATTCAAATGACGAATTCTAAACTTAGTCTCGAAGTCAACACTGCAACTTTATTTAAAATTATAACATTATCAAACATTTTAGAAGAAAAACATTGTAATTTAAAATTACAACGTGGTCAAAGTAAAAACAGTCTAGTAATTTAAATGAATAATATTGTATGTCCACTTGCAATGACTTTAACAAAAAGAAACAATTGTTACTCAAACTTTTGTGTATTGCAACTTCATCTACAATTATACTTCAACGGAAACACAGTACATTTTCTATTACAATGAAGTTATTCCATTTCACAAAAGTACTTCTTATTGTCATACAGATACGGTTCAAAGACCGAAATAAAAGTCTGTTCTTGCTGAATTCACATGACATAAATAAGTACCAACGTGTAACTATAGTTACAATGTTGTTCATGTTGGGTGTCGCAATGTTAAATTTTGGTCCAATTTACGCAGAACAACCTGATAGTATCTTGAGGTCTTGCAGTGGCATGTGTTTAAGCTGTAAAATACTTATCTTTTGAAATATTTTTCAACTAAATCAAAGTTTCGTTATGTCATAATTCCTCCCTATTCCTTCTAACATAGGATAACCAGATGTTAAAACAGAAGTATTAGTAGTATGTAAACATTATTCATTATTAAGTAAAATTACAACTGTGTCGAGTCAGTATGAAATACACCACGTAATCAATCGTACATCATTCTCTTCTTGATACCCCACATTACAAGTTTGGTTTAATTTTATAACTTTACTCGCGATCAGCGCCAGCTTTGGGTGATTTCTTAATTCTGACAACAGCGCCAACGTATAGAATTATACGACTGAATATAGTTTTTAAGATGGTTGCTTAAAAATACAATAAGGAAATTGAAGAACTGAAAGCTGAGTCGAACATCTACTTGTGTTAGATAAAAGTTCACAGATTGTGTAGGCTAGGTTATCTCGAAATAATGGGAGAGGATTGGCCGTTAAAGTGAGCGTACTTGGTAGTGTCGGATAGCTTACGGCTATTCGATCTAGGCACAGCTGAAAAGATGAAGCAGGAAAGGATCTATGTGAACTTCAAATCCAAGTCTGACAGTATATGGCGTAGGGCTGATCAACGTGTCCTCTTTTACTGTCGGCGATCAAGACACATTCTGAGTTTCTGCACCACGTTAGTTATTTACAGTTTTGTAGAACTTAAAAACGTTTCCAAAATAAATAAGGTTTACCAATTCTCCAAAGTCATTTAGCTTTAATTCGCACTGAAAATGAATAACTAAGAAAATCCACATTGTAAGCAGCTTCGAACTAGAGCTTAGAGGATAATCCTGGCTTTACAAGCTTGGGCTTTGAACGGCTAAGGGCATTGATTAACGTTGCAGCAAAAGAAGATTGAAAATTGCAGTTTGTATCGCTAACACTGAATCTCGAAATATTTTTTTTTTCATAGAAAGAATTCACGATTCTACGAATCTAGCACACCATTACATCTTATCAAAATCTACAAGTGAACATAGCTCTCTCCTATAAATAGCCGTAGTCGGATTTTTACCGTAGTCGCTTCGCTTGGCAAGCGGGTTGACAACCGCAGTTTTTAACTATTTTGAATTGTTATCAGAAAGATGCTGCTACTTCAATCCTGTTAAATACCACTCTGTCGCCTCTTTCAACACCCACGGTACCTCATATCGTCCAAACGGCACCCTTTATATCACCATAGACCCATAGTCTAATGCATTCGTCACCCCTGAGGATTAGGATGGAACTTTTTTTACAGGATAAGGGTGAAAAACATGTATAAAGTTAAGCTGATGGTAAGTGGTTGTTGCAGCCCATAGACATTTACATCAATCAACGATCACGAGACAAAATTCGTTATCACCTGTGAGGCCTAAGATACGAAACACAGCAGCGTTAAGCTGCTATTTTACGCTGATATTCTGTGAGAGCGAATTTCGTCCATCATTCCTGCTACCATTGTACTACTAATATAGCTGCAGCATGGCTCTACCACTTTAAAATAACTACTACTAGGACTAAGATGAATGCCTTTTTATTAGTAAATATGGTCTACGGTTCCCGTCATCACAGCCTTAATTGGAAGTGGATGCTTTGTCTGAAAGACACACAACTAAGGCGTTCGAAACACTTGAGAACTTAAATGGTAAGCCTCGTTTCCTGTTCTCGTCATTCATTTGGAATACAGCATTATGCTATTCGTGCTACAGCCATAATATAGGTTTAGCATAACTCTACCATGTTAACTTGATGTACGACGTTATGCAACCACATATAATTCATGACAACGTATGTGCTAAAGTGTTCTGAATTGCCGTGTGGTGTTAGAGAGTCAGTGTGTCAACGTGGCTAAGAGCCACGTATGTGCCAAAGTTTATATAATTTACGATGGCTACTTAGAGAGTCCCATATCATATCACCGTGTATCCAATGTGTATATTATTTCCAATAAATTATATCCAGCATCACATATCTCCAAACTCAGTGCTCCGATAACAGAAGTTAAGCTGCGATTAACACGCCATTAACATCGGCCTAATTCCTCTCTCAGTGTAGATGCCGTGCAGTACTTGCACAATGAAGTGTATGCCCGATATTATCGAAAGAATATATTTTATTAGCAGTTGTTATTTTTACGTTTCAGTCTGTTTTTAAATTTGAATGATCATCATTAATATAAATAAATTTTAGGGATTTTATCGCGTATATTAACTTATTTTATATTCCCGACGCATTGAGTACTTTGCAGTACCCATGGACACGGAGCGAGGGAGGGGAGGGGACTGTTCGATGTCCCAATGTCATAGTTAACCACAGGTAGCTATGGTTAACTATGACTATGATTAAACTTATTTTACTTACTTTACGGCACAAAATGCTCGAAACGTTGGCAATATTAAAAAAATTAATATACGCGACAAAATCCGTAAAAACTAATTTTATTTAAATGTGTATTGTTAGCGAAAATATAAGAAAAAATTAGCAAAACTGTGATTTCCGACCTACCAACAAGCGTAAAAACAAAGTATATATCCCCCTATAAGGTAATCTATGTGAGAGCCCCGTGCTCAGCAGTGGTGTTTTGGTAAGCTGTAATACGAGTAAATGATTGAAAGTCAGCCAGTGTTATAAGCTTTTCAAAGATTTATAGTAGCTTAGAGGACAAGTCCTCATTTGCAACTACACTACTAAATGCAAAGAGCCGTGGCAGTTCAGGAACTAACCGCTCGCCGTAAATTTTTCGTGGCATAATGACAAAATGGAGACCTATATTCAGCAGTGTATTCTTGATACGCTTTAGAGAATTAATGAATGATGATAAGATAGGTATACTTTATTATTAGAGCCTTGGTAGCTCAGATGGTTAACGCTGGCTGTAAATATAACAGAACGCGAGTAACCCGGGTTCGATCCCTGCCTTCACCAATGAAATTGTTAATTGCAATTTTAAGTGCTGATTTACCACGTGCTCGGCGGTGAAAGGAAATATCGCGAGGAAACCTGCATGTCTGAGAAATAAGAAAAAAATATTTCGAAGACATGTGAAGTTCGCCAAAATAAAATAATTATTTAAAAAACGCGGTACTCATGTACAATAAAGAAATTCTAGGTTAATATAAAAATTTAAAAGGACCCAATAATAATACAAGTCGATTTTAGGTAAAATTATGGTATTTCCACTTAGTATTATTACATACTAAATAACTATAGAATAATTGTACAATTTGGATAATTATACTACGAAATCCGACCCTGGTTACGTCGTGTTTTGATATGACGTTTGTATTATGACAGATGGGCTACTTTTTCTTGTATGAAAAAATTATGAGTAAAATGTTTAGATGGGCTTATCCTTCCTTTTTGAAATCATTGATTATAATATCTATAGTTATGTATAGTTGAAGTAGTAGTTAATAAACTAGCTTCCAGGCGGCGCTGTTGTCGCGGCCAATTTTGACGTTAGAGATTCTTATCCATTTCCGTATATACGCTCTTATCTATGCTTATTGACGCTGCAATCATTTCTTCAGCATGAATTTGCTTTCTCATTAGTTCTTCATTCATTCTTTTCAAGTGTCTAAATGTGTGAACGAAGCATTCTTTTCTTAGTCTTGGTTTTTGCATGCAGCATTTTGCAAACGACTCTTTTCATTTTTTATACAGTGCTCATTCTATCAATCAAAGTCACCACTCACTTACTTCTTAATTACCTCATTTCTACAGCATTGATTTTACACTTACGCTGCTAGCAGAAGGCTGCTACACTCAATTTTCTCATTTTTTTATATTAAATTATATTTTACAGTCATGTGACTTAACGCTGATTTAACGCACTAATGCAAGAATTATATAATTATGCAATCTACACTATATGCAGCATTTTAATATAAGGAAGTTGACAATTCTTACGACATACTTCATTAACATTAAGTTATTAGTTAATATGTACCTACATATATTTTTTTCAATGTGAAGTAATTTTTATTTAACTAAGCGCGTAGTTGCAATTGCAATGTGGCTCTATAACGTAGATATTTTTTAAATCTCACAGTTCCATGACAAACAACGCACAAACGACGGGCAAACGTACAAAAGATCCATCTTTAGTAGCCCGAGACCTTTGTCAGAAAATAATAAGATAGCAGGATTCTACCACACATTTAATTTTAAAAGCTAAATGAGATCATTGTTTTAGGTTAAAAGCAAGACTGTGAAAGCCATAGACGAAAACATCTTTAATCTGAGTACAAGATTCTTAATTAAATGTCATGGAGTACGATAATGGAATAATCCGGAGTCCTGTAAATTTGTTTAATTTGTTTGACCATTCATTGAATATTTATGTGTATTAGCCCAATAAATTAAAGCAATTTAAACTGACGAAGGTATTAGGATTCCTGACACAAACTGTAAGCCAAGTATCGTAGAAGTGTATGGTGGCTTAATTTAGGACTATGAATCGGCTCACCAGCTTGGTAGCAGGGGTTCGAAAAATAATAGCTTAAGGACGCATACGCATAGGCTGGGGTTCCACTCGAGTGGAGCTGCTGGAGCCCAGGCCTATGCACTGCTACAGATGCCTCGAGAAGAGGCATGTGGGCAGTAAGGGCCCTAACGAGGCAGACAGGAGCACCCGCTGCTATGCCTGCGGCGAACTAGGTTACGGAGCAAACCAGTGTATTACGTTGGCACTGAAATGCAACAAGAAACGTTACGAAGAGTAAGCCCTCCCACAGACCCTCCAACGGAACGGTTGCAGCAGCACCTGTTGCGGTACCGAACCCCGACTCGGTAATGGAAGTTGCTGAGACTTAATAGGGCTTTGTTGCAGTGCAGTGGGGCACCCTGGCCATAGTGGACTGCTATATCTCTCCCAACAGGACCCTCGCTGACTACGAGGAGTACCTGGACGAGGTGGCGGATTGCGTGCGTGGGTGCTTACCTAGTCTCTTGATCGTCCTAGAAGACTTTAACGTGCATACAAGGGCCTAGGGCAACTTAGGGACGATCCGAAAGGAGAGATGGTAATGGAGTGGGCCTTTGGTCTGGACCTCCGACTATTAAATCGTGGGTCTGAGAGTACATGTGTGTGATGACAGGGGGAGTCCATTGTGGACCTCACATGGGCAACTCCTCCTGCAATGCGAATGCTGTCGGGCTGGCGAGTTGCGACGGAGGTGGTTACATTGTCGGACCACCGCCACATCGTGATCGATGTCGCACTTCACCACTTAGACAGTAATTCCAGTCATCGAGTAGGCAGCTCACCGCGGTGTTGGTCCCTCAAGCTGCTCAACCGAGACAAGTTAGAAGCCGCCGCCATCGTCGCGGCCTGGCCGGCAAAAGCCGAAGAGTTACATATCAATCCGGAAGGGGAAGCGAACTAGTTTCGGGCTACGATGACGCAAATATGCAACGTATTGATGCCCAAAACCAGTCGTCCCAAGTGCAGGGTGGAGTACTGGTGGTATGTAGAAATCGCAAACCTTTGCGCAGTTGGCTTGCAGAGTCGACGCCAGTACACTAGAACCTGAAGGAGATAAGCTCAGTCCGCTATTGTGGAACCTCGCGTGAAATGCGTTTCTGCATTTCGACCTTCTTGCTGGCGTAAATATCGTGTGATATGTCGATGACACACTGGTAGTCGCCAGCGGGGTCACATTCGAGGGGACCAATGATCTCGCCGAGGTTGGGACGGAAGTCGTCGTTACCAAAATCCACGAGTTGGGTCTAGAAATAGCGCCTCGAAAGACCGAGGCCTTATGGTTTCACAAATCACCTCAGAGCAGGGAACTACCCGACTCGTGCGTCCGCGTGAGTGGGTCTGAAATCAGAGAGTGGCGGTACATAAAGTACCTAGGGCTCCACCTGCATTGCACCTGGTTGCTATGCACAGACTGCTGCCCAAGCTAGGGGGACTGAGGGAGGAAGTTCACCGCCTCTACGCTGGGGTAGTGCGGTCTGTAGTCTTATATGGTGCACATGTAGGGGCGAAAAGGCTAGCCATCCGACGCTGTAGAACTAAAATCTACGGTGTCCAGCGGAAGATGGCTATACGGATCGTGCGAGGACTGCACGATATCCTTTGAATCGACAACAGTCCTGACTCGCTTTCCACCCCTAGATATATCATGCGAGAGAGGTGGCAGTGTACCGGATGAGACACTTGAATCTCTAAAACCGCAGGAGCAACAGAAATCTTTGGCGACATGGCGCACTGGTGTCATTGACGCATTCGTACCGGTTTTCGAAGCCTGGATGCAGCGACGAGTAGGAAGACTCACCTACAGACTTACACAGACTTAATTACCGGGCACAGGTGCTTCAGTGATTATCTGTGTAAGATCGTACTTGAAGCGACGGCGAACTGCTTTCACTGTGGTGGGTTGGACCAGGATTCCGCGTCCCATACGCTTACGGTTTGCCCAGCATAGGAATGGGAGCGGATAATCCTGGCGAGCCGGATCGGTCAAAACCTTTCCCTGCCAGCAGTAGTGTCGCGATGCTGAGCGAGGATTCGGCGTGGAGGGCCGTAGCCACCTTCTGTGAGTCCGTAATGATCTAGAAGAAGGCTGCTGAGCGGGATCGGAGGAGGACAGGTCAAGGCGCTCGTCACGGCCCTCCCCTTGAAGATGGTGGGCCTGCAGAAAGAAACGAACATCAGACTGGGGTTGCAGGCATTTGAGGCGGGGGCCCCGAATGCCTAGTAATGTAACCCCTGAGGAGTTCCCCTGTTTCGGATTTCAATTTGAATTATTTACCTGATAATTTAATTTCAGATCTGTAAGTAGGCCCATAGATCTAGATATTAGCTTACTCTGTTTCTTCGGTTTTCTTTCTTTCTTTTCTTTTGCTATTTACACATAATACATAGTAAAATGAATACACGCAACGCCAAAACGCGCCAAATGGAGAACCAACTTCAAATGGCGCTTTTGGAATTTAAGGCGTCAAAGGAGCAGTGTGAGCTGTTGCTTAAAGAAAAGGATGACAACGAAAAGGAGATAATAAATATAATTGCCAAAAATACTCAACTAAAAGTGATATGGTTAAGTTGCATAAAGACTATACAAATTTTTAAAAGAAAGGGATCAGCTTCAGGGAGCAGTCGATGAGTTTGATCGATACAGCAAGGAATATGAGGAATCCCTCAGATTAATTGCTGCATTGCAGTTACAAATAAGCGAGGCTAATGGGCAATTAAAACAATATTCAGATGAATTGAAAGTGTCCCAAACTCAAAGTCTGCTCAATGAGCTCATAGAATGTAAATCTTCAAAAACATTGCAACCCTCCACAACAATCAATTTGACTGGTGATGATTTTGTTACATCAAGAACAGCGGAAAGGATTACATGAAGTAGAAGAAAATTAAAGAAATATATAAAAATTAATAAATATGTTAGGAAAGTGCAAAAGTTAATTAAAACTAAAATTAATATAAAAAATTATGTAAATATATGTAAGGAAAAGCATGAATTAATTAACCCGGCGAGCATGAGCAAGTGTATCACACACCCTGATAAAATTTCAAGGTGGTGTATTTTTTAAAATCCTCGCCTGGAAACTCTAACTCGCTCAGTAGCTGGAGTGCTGGGCGCCTGGGGCGGGTTAGTGGCGTGATCGCAGTGTGGCGTGGGACACCGGCCGTTATATTCGTGGGCAAACCTGTCTCGGGTATGTTATACCCTGCCTCATTTTTGACGTATTTTTTTTACGTAATGATTTGATCATGAATTATGATTGTTTTATTAGTTTTTTCTTTGATGATTTTAGTATATAAATTTGTTGTTCATTCATTTATACTGTGTTATGTTAGTTGCAACAGTAAACGATGGGCTACGACTTTATACTATGGTGTCTTGAACATGGCAGCTATTAATGCTTGCATTATATTTATATCGAGAAAACAAAAACGTCACAATCAAGGGGAACGGAATTCATTCGTAATATAATTTTTTTCGTGATTAGTAATTTTTTTTTCGTGATTTACCAACACCTACATTCAAGAAAATCAAAAAAGCATATTCTAAGCTACATCCGCCAGCGAATCTTAAAACAGTTCGGTGAGCCCTCGCCTAGACATGTGAATATACGCGGGCGATATGTCAGATGTCAGGATTGTCCATACAAGAAGGATAGAAAAACCAAATATTCCTGGAATGCTTGTGCCAAGCCCATATGTATGGAGCACGCAAAATTTATTTGCGAAAATTGTGCTGATCTCGACAGTGGTAATTAATCATAATTTTTAATTAAAAAAAATTTTATAATAAGTTTTTTACAAGGACGATCTCAATATGCTTTAATTTTAAGTTGATTTATACTCCAAAGAATAATATTTTTGTTAAATTATAAATTTTTGTAGGCCCTTAAACTTTTGTTTCTTTAGTTACAAAGTTTATGAAAAACATGATTATATAATAATAATTTCACAATTAAGAACTTGTTTCATTTAATTCTATTAAATTATTCATTAGTTTACATAATAAAATCATCAAAGTAAAAATAATAATAATAAGAACTTAAATATGGTACATTAAATTATGGGTATGTCCCAACCTGCCACATTCTAGATGTAACTTTTTTTAACCTCACCCTCGCCGGGTTAATAAACTTAAATTATATTCAATTGAGGTGAAAAATATGAAAAACTGTTATGACACTGAAATAGAGTGTCTCAATTCAGAAGTTTTGTCGCTTTAAAACTCCTTACAAATTATCTCAAACAAATATGCATCGGCTCAGGTTGAGATAAAAGAACACATATTGGCCATGAATGATCTGGTAGTCATGTAAATACAATAAGGAGCGCTTTGACTCCTTAATAAAACATCAGAGTGAGAATCAGCGCTCCAGACCATTTTCATCGGGGACAATATGCGTAAATTGTAGTGACTCCTTATTGTCACCCACACTCTATAACAGTGCCATAACAAAGAATAAAAACTTAAAAAGTAATTTAAATATTAAAAAACGTGGAGTTATTATGTATTGTGATGACATAGGTAAAAATTTGGGCATGATGTTAAATAACCATTTAAAAGGACAGGTAATTAGTAATTATTGTATGCCTGTAGCATCCTTTAGTCATATAATGAGTAAAGTTTTAACTAGTAAGTTTTGTCCTAATAGCACGTTAATAATTCTTGTTGGGAGAAGAGGCAATGTAAACAAAAATCAATTATTAAAATATATTTATTAACTCAATACTTTAAATGTACATAAAATTATCTTGTTTATATTGCCTTACATACAGGGTTGACCACAGGAGAATAAAATAAGATATGATTTAAATTTATAATGAATAATTTGTCATGTAACAATAATTTAAATTTGACATTTAATTGTAATAATTATACTGATAGCATTAATTTAATAGACATTAATAATTTAATTAAGAAATTTTTGACTACAGATAGGTATTACCTATACAAATATAATTTAAGACAGATAGCAAATGTGCTATCATATTATTTATATATTAACTCAGCCAAGGACTTGGCTACCCAGACATCTGCTCTATCATAATGATGTGACATATAATTTGGAATCCGTTCCAAGTAATTTAAATTATAAAATAAGACAATAGAGGTAATATCTAGCAGTTATAATAATTTAAATAATTTAGAATGTAGCTTACAAATCCTTAATAGTTGCAATTGTATAACTCCACAAAATGATAATAAAAATTGTTTACACCTGGTGCATCAGAATATACAAGGCATGATAGGCAAAGAGCTAGAAATTGAATTGTTCTTAAATAGCAACAATATTCATATTTTATGTATTAATTAACATTGGTTAAAAACTCATAATTTAATGTTCAACTTCAGTAATCACCAGGGGGTCAGTTCTTTCAATAGAGAAACGGTTTTAAGAGGTGGCTCCTTAATTTTAGTTAGTAAATTATTAGATAATTAAGTCACAATCAGCTCACAATATCTTTATTAATTATTAGATAATAAATAAAGATATTGTGAGCTTCTCTGTTGAGCGAACTGTAGAAAAAGCATGTGTTGAGTTTGAGCACCTCATTGTTGTGAGCGTTTACAGACCCCCATGATCTTTATATGATACTTATGAAAAAATTTTGGAGGAAGTTTTCGCTAAGTTTAATAAACAGAATAAATCTGTTGTAATATGTGGAGACTTTAATATCAATCTCCTAGAAGCTTCCTCCAACAATATTAAATTAAGATAATTGTTTCATCTAATCATCTAATGGTCTTTTTAATTTATTTTTGGAGCCAACGCGTATTGCTGACTCTAGTGAAACATGTATAGATAACATTTTTACAAATTTTAAGTCGTTTAATAAATGTATTATTCAAAAATTGAGCTCTGATCACTGTGGACAATTAATTTCATTACCTTATGTTCACAA